TTAATAGGCAAAGTTCTTCTCATTGAAGTTGAAATTAGGTTTAGTAATTTTGGGTCTCTTATTCCCTTTGAATATTTCATTTAAAAATAGGCATTTTCACTTTTTTTTTTTTTTTTGGTGGAAGGGAGAATTGAGGAATGGGATGACATTTTAATAGAATATCATAATATGGCTTAGAATTTCAGTCTTTGGTACCAAGAATTTATTGCTGATCATTTTCTGTTGACAGAAATCAAGTACTGCCTACATAACCCAACCAACTACCGCTGACTAGAGTGTGTTAGAGTGGGGTAATACTTTGATTTATTTTCCTATGTGGGTGTGGTTGAAAGAAAATCTTTGTTCCAGGAACACTTTGTTTATCTTTTGCTAAACAAATGTGCAATTTATCCATTCTTTATTCATTCATAGATTTATCTGCTAGACCTATTATGAATTGGAAAGGGGAGAATGTCCTATAAAGCATTTATCGGCAGCCTCTGTTTCATGGGTAACTGCATACCGAGTGTTTGTTTATATGTACATGAAATGCATAAGGAGGAAAGAAGTAGCTGAGGAATTTAAATAAGAATTCTTGAAAGGGTTGTTTGGCTTTATTTGTTTCATAGTGTACTAGGGCAAAATAAAATATGACAGCTGTTGAACAGTTTAATAGTTTTGTAGCTGTATGAGGAAGAAGTTAATTTAATGCAAAGGCTTAGGGGAAAGTTATAGGATCATAGAATTTTAGATCTGGAAAGCTCTTCCAAACTCATAATTTTATTCTCTGTTAATACATACCTTTCATGTGAAGGTGACCATGCTTTGTCTTGAGAAAAAAATATTTCTCCAGTTAACTAAGCACATATACCTAAATTCATCTAGGGTGAAGTTTCTCTGAAGTGAACTTTACCCTAGATGAATTGTTGATTCTTCCAGGTCTCACATTTATGCTGGATGTCCTCTTTACTCTCACCTAGAATGTTTTGTTAATTTTCTTAGCAGTCCCGAGGGTCTCATGGGCTTTGTCGGGTTTTTTTTTTTTAGCGGGGGTGGGGGGGGGTTCTTTTTCTTTTTTTTTCTGTAAATATTAAAGGTGATTCCTCTGGGCATGTCTAATTGTAAGGTTGGAAATTTGCCTCTGTCTAAACAATGCCAAAATTCTGGTCTAAATGGAGAGTTCTTTTCATAAGGAACAAAATTATCATAATTTTTGTTTTGGTATTATTAAGCACTGCCACATTAAACCAGGTCCCAACTGGGCCTCTAGCCTCTTAGTATGGGAGCGATTCAGGAAGTGCAGGGGTTCTGGGCTTGCACAACTTAAAGTAGGCCTTACTTCCTATTACGTGGGTAGAAAGTAGAAAGGTGATATACATAGTACCCCCCCCATCCATGGGGGATACATGCCAAGACTCCCAGCGGATGCCTGACACTGCAGATAACATCAAACCCTATCTGTACTGTTTTTTCCTAATCATACAACCTATGAAAAAGTTTACTTTATCAGTTAGACACAGTAAGAGATTAATAACAATAACTAATAGTAAAATTGGACGGTAAAGTAGTCTCGCTCTCTCAAAAGACCTTATTGTCCTGTGCTCACCCTTCTTCCTGTGACGTCAGATAGTAAAATGCTTGAGTGACGAGAAGTGGGATGAATGACGTAGGCACTGTGACATAGCGTTAGGCTACTACTGACCTTCTCATGATGTGTTCAGACCGGAACATCTGCTTCCAGACCGTTGTTGACCACAAACTGCAGAAAGCGAAACCTCCAGGGCGCCTGGGTGGCTCAGTTGGTTAAGCGACTGCCTTCGGCTCAGGTCATGATCCTGGAGTCCCGGGATCGAGTCCCGCATCGGGCTCCCTGCT